TGAAGGCTGTGTATTCTGAGAACTCATCTGCTTCAATTTTTCGGAGTGCATCAAATTGGTTGCTGGAATTACCAGCGCCCTCACTTGTCATTTTCTTTCCGTTCCTCTGCGTCCTCTCTGCATGTTTCAGACATGCCACCCGAATGTCGAACGCATGTTCCCCCTCTCTCTTTTGACTTTTTCCACGTACTCTCTAAGCCAGTGGAGGGAACGTTGAGTGCTCCCATCATCGTTTGAGGAGGAATCCCCTTTCCCCTTGCTGCTCTCATCAGCTGTACCTCCCGTCCCTTCTGCCCGCGAGTCCGTCTCCTTACCTTCTTTGTCCTCCACCGTCATTGTCTGAATTGCTCCCTCCTTCCCTGCCGCATCGATCGCCTTCCGTCTCTTGAGACCCCCTTCTATCGACTCTTCCGTTCCATTGATGTTCATCGTGCATTTGTTTTTTGTGTGAGTGCCACTTTTTTTTGCACAGATCCGCCTGTTCCAAATTCTTCAACATCGAACGAAGGGTTGTTTGGTGAAATCCCGGACTGCTTGTTCTCTGATGGCATCCAGATCACACAGCAAATCCTCCCGGGAATTTACTTCCCTGACTACCCGGGAATCAATGAGAGGGTCTGTGTTAGTTTTTGTTGGGTTGTCGGACACTTTCCCTGTGGCTTTCTTCTGCCACCTGCTGTCTGCTGGGGGGAAGATGTTGGGTCTCTTGATTGACGGGGTCAGATCGGAGTAATGCCACACCCAATCTGGTTCTTCCAGATTGTCATCAAAGACCCACCAATCATAATTGGGGTCAGCGATAAACCAGGTGCCCGGGCATCTTCCACTTCAACCAGCATATTGGGGAGCAATTTCCGCTCATCCGAGCCCATATGTCCCCGTTCTCTACATCGGAAACAGATCGATGAGGCCCTGGTAAAGACTTTGACCTCCACAATTTTGTTTTCGATCTGAAATTTCCAATCGGTGGGAATACTGGGGGGTCATCTGTTTTGACTTCCAAGACCACCGTCAGTGTCCCGCAATGAGGTGCCAGAAATTCTGGGGTTGGGACTATCCATCTGAGAATTTTGTTCGCAGTGTATTGCTTCTCCGGTCTATCCACTACCATCCCATGGAAACCTGGTTGGATGTTATCGAATTGTACCCAAAAGTTCTCCTTTAGGAGGGTCTGTTTATAGGACACCGTAAAGACCGGGTTTTGCCTTCGCACATACATCTTTTTCCATTTGGTGATGGAGCAGACTTAGCCATTACAGTTTCTGGATTGCATTTCTGCTGCAGTCCGTGCATGCTCCTCATGAATGAACAATGCCATTATATTGTTTCTTCCCAGAATTTGCAAAGTGAAGGTTTCCCCAATGTTTTTCACTTTCGGTTCCTTTTTTATTGTCTCTATGACCCATTTTCTTTTTTCTGCGGGTTGGAGATCAGCTCCATTTCGTGCAAAATTGAAAACAACTCCGTGTCTTTCATGCAGGTCGTCCGGTTCAGCCACTTTCTCCTTTGGGTATTTCCAAACAATAATTTCTTCTTCTTTTCCGTCAATCCTTTGTGTCTCTATTGTCTCTACTCCATTAACCTTCGTTTTCTCAATCAGGAATCTAAGTGCTTCATTTTCGATCGTATTCACTGCCTGCTCCGACGAGTTCTGGCTTGGGGTTGCCCTGTTTTGGGTCGAAGACGCCATTGTCAACGTGTAGTGTAGTGTTCTCGCCTTCTCTATCTTGGCCGACAGTCGACTAGTCCTTCTAAAAGATTGCTCGTGATCAGGATCTAGGTAGGAAGTAGATCAGGTATGGCCTCACAATAGGTAGCTTCTCCCGCGAAGAGATCGACAACTGGCAATGGGGGGGAGAGCAGACAGGGGGGACGTGCATGTATTTTTAACGAGGATGGGTGGATGGATGGGTGGAATAAATGGCTGAGTTGGTGGTCGGAAGGTTGGAAGGAAGGATGGATGGAATGATAGGTGAATGACAACGGGAGAATTTGGGGTTGAGGATGGGAGGATGCCAGCATGGACGGATTGATGTCTAGATGCGGGAAGAGTAGATGAATGAGTGAATGGGATGTTGCTGTAATGGGATGGAGCAAGATACTGAGGGAGATGGAGGGGGGATGTGCGGAAAAGGTGTCGAAGGAGAGGTGGAATTAGAATGGCTGGATGAATGGGACACTGGGGAGTCGGGTGGGAGGATGACAGACTGGACGGAGTGATGTCTGGATGAAGGAGGGTTGGGTGAATGGGTGAGTGGGGGCAGCCTGACTAGGAAGGGGCGAGATACCGAGGGAGACGGGGGGGGGATGTGCTGAATATGTGCCGGTGATTGGGGGATTGCTAGGTGGAGGGGACGAGGGAAGACTGGGATATAGTTGGGTTTGAGAACGAGTGGTGTATGGCAAATGGGGGGTATGTGGAAGGGTGGGAAGGTTGGTAAATGAAAGGTTTATGAGGACGATTGCTGGAGGGGAAGTTGGATGTGTGGGAAGAGAAATGGATTGGTGGACGGGTGGGTGGGACTGTTGGTTAACGTGTGAGAGAAAAGGTGGATCGGTGGTTGATGGATATAGAATAGGGGGAAAGGCTAGGAGGCTGGGTGGAAGGAGGGACGGGAGGACTGGTTCAGGGATGACTGAGCGAAACCGGAATAATCCGAGGAGATGCTGCGAACGGACCTTGGGCGGCGGGTGATTGGATTGAAAGAGGGATGAGAGGGAGATTCGATGCGACGGTGGATACGGTCGATGGGAGTTAGTTCGGCAACAGAAGGAGTGAAGGTGAGGAAAGAGGAAGCGTAGGGAGAGCGGGGGAGAGATGTTAAGTCGATTGGTGGACGGGTGGGTGGGACTGCCGGTTAATGTGTGCAAGAAGAAGTGGATCGGTGGCTGATGGATGTAGAATAGGGGGAAAGGCTGGGAGGCTGGGTAGAAGGAGGGATGGGATGGGAGGACGGGTTCTCGGGGGACTGAGCGAAACCGGTAATCTCCGAGAAGATGCAGCAAACAGACCTTGGGCGGCGGGTGACTGGATCGAAAGTGGGGTGAGAGGGGGGTTCAATGCGACGGTATATACGGTAGATAGGAGTTAGATCGGTGACAGAAGGAGTGGAGGTGAGGAAAGTGGAAGCGTAGGGAGAGCGGGAGTCCTCACTCGATTGGATCTTGGTCGGCTTCGAGATAGATCTCTTGAGGTCTAGCGGCGACTTTCGACAGTCCTCGTGTTTGCTCGCGGGCGCGAGATCGCCAGTCGGCTCTTCGAATAGGCGCTTGGAGTCTTCTCGGATATGGCAACTTCTCTCCTACTGTTCCCCGGTTCCACCTCCTCTCTCTTCCCTTCCCCTATTATCCCGTCCTCCCTAAAGTTGTCGTGCATAGCCACGCCCAGAGGCATGGCGGGAGGATGTGGAAGTCCTCCTTCGGACGGTCCTCTCTTCTTCAACGAGAGTCTTGGAAGTGGCGCGCGCGTGAAAGAGCGCGCGAAATCGAGCTGCACCGGTTCAAACTCGCATGGTGGGCGGTCACTGCAACTAGCGCAGGTGCAGCGCTTACCGGACGGCGCTAGCGCGTTTTTCGCTGTCCCCCACTTCTTGTTTTTTTTTCCTTTTAAATAAAACAAGTCCTTATGGCCCTGGCTCCATATCCATTCTGGGGTCTCTCATCCCCTGACTTCCCCTCACAGGCTCTACACCATCACCCAAGGACCACCACCTGCCCCACCGGCTTCCATGGAAGAACTGCTTGGCTATGGCCGCCGTGCTCCGCTGTGCCCAGCAGCGTCTTAGCCCAGCGCCCGTGCACGCAAACGTCCCTGGCCAGCACCCTGCCTCCAGCGAGCGTGCGTCCAAGCAGCGCTCACGCAGCAGCACCCAGCCAGAATGCGTCTGGACAGGATGCAGACAGTTTCCTTTACGGAATGTAAGAGATGCTGCATGGGTCTGGCCTGGCTGCACGTTGAGGCTCAGTACCCAGCTTCCATTACCTGCACCCAGGGCCCTTTCGTAATGTGCCCTGGGGCCCGATCGGTTGCACCACCCAACTACTCGACGTGGCTGCTGCATTTTCATTGGCCGAAAGGCCTCTGGCCACATGGTGCCTCTGGGGCCCAGTTCCTGCTTACGCAGCCTCTCAGACGAGGCTCCTTCCGGAAGCGTGCGTGATTCAACCAACTGGCGCGTGGCTCAGGGCCTGGTGCGCACCGAAAAGTAGGCCTCCTAATTTTCTGGCCTGCATTCACTTAGGGCGGGCACGGGCTGTCCCTAGGGGCTCTGCCTAGGTCTCTCGACCTCACATTTTCTTTCAATTGCAAGAAACGGAAATTTGCCGCTTTTTAGTACTTTTTACTAGTTTTGATTGCTGTTTGTATGGAGAGGGAATACCATCTACTCGAATTTATTCCGTTTCTCTGTGGAGTTAGACAATGAAGGAGGGAGAGTCTGACCCAGAGAGACAGAGATGAAGAGAGCAAAGTGCATTTGGCTGATGTTTGAGATACACAAAATGGCCTTAAAAAATTTTAAAATTTTTAAAAAATCCAATTCTGTGCAATTAAAAAAATATGTCAAATTAAAGTTATTTAACTAAGTCGTAGTCGTCTAAATGACATTTATAATTTTATATATAGTCATTGATTAGTCTCATGTTTCGGAAGCTCCGCATGGAGAGACTTCTCTTGCGATAACTCTCGCATGCCAAAGTGCAGCAACTCAACCATGGCTTGGTTCCGTAATCTGGAAGATATATGGTTCTGTCATTCATTGACAGGTTGCATTTTCTTGGGGTTGGGGGGGGGGGGGGGGGGGGGGGGGGGGGGGAGGAGGAAAAGATCCAAAAGAAATGACAAACATGAAGGGTATGTACTATGTCCATAGGAACAGGACCAAGAAGATGTGCTTGTTAATCTGCATTTAAATATGTTCTGAAATTGCCCAAAAATGTTGCTTCTTTGTATGGGGGATTTCTCTGTGGGGGGGAAGGGATGGGGTGAGTTGAGGTGACAGGGCTATTTGCGCTGATGATCATTCACAGCCCTCCTCTCTAGCAACCATACTTATCAATTGCTTGTGGCGAAGTACTGTGTGCAACAGAAAGAACCTCACACGCTTTCTTGCTATGGATGGTAAGTAACTGAGAGGACAGGACAGGAAGTGAATAAAAAAGGAAGTGATGGAACAGAGTGGAATTTTGCTGCTAGAACCTAGACCAGGATGGAAATGTGAGACTTGTAACCACCTCATCGCGTTGTTCAGGTTATCTACAACATTCATTAGTCAAAGCTCCTACTGCGCACAGCTTTGTCTCACTGAGCTCCCCACCAGTGAGATTCCCGCCGAAGCTTTGATCACAACAGTCAATCAAAGTGCCATTTCAGATTTCCCAGTGCTCTGCACTGTCTGCAGGAGTCTGAAATATGTGAAGAGACCTTTTTTTTTCATCTAAAATTCACGATCAACCAGTCGGGTGTTGAAGAGAATTCTTGAAGTATACATCCCGCGTGTCTTCAGCATGCAGAAGGACAGTAAAGTCAGCATCCCGCCCTACATGTTTCAACTACCGTCTTCACCCGAATAGAACGCCTGGTAATTTTGACCATATCTGAACTGAAAGCTGCGTCAAATACAGCTATAATGACTGGGCGTTCTATTCGGGTGAAGACGGTACTTGCCAAAACTAAGCATCGTCAGGAGCAGGCGCGAGAAAATATGTGAAGAGACCTAATAAAAAGAGAAAACAAGGTTACTTCTCTTTGACTTCCTTTGCTCCATCTTCCCTCTCTCTGTCACTTTCTCTGTGTTGATGGCAATGATGTGGGTGTAGTGCAAGCGGTGTGTCTGGATTGTGTCTTCTGGCTGTGACAGGCCTTTCTTTGTTTCATAAGGACTTCGATGGCTTATGATGGGGTGCAAACCTACAGTCCATCGAGTCTTCCATCTGGTGTGGGTGGGTGACAGTCTGCTTGGATTTTCTTCGTGAGCCTTGAGGGCAGTGGTTGGTGCCACGTAGGGGCATCAGTTGTGGGGCAGGGGTTGGTGCTCACCTGCAACTGGGGTTAAGGTGGACTATCACTTACTGTTAGGGGACTCTGCAGACTTTAAGGGTTAAGCCTCCTGATGATCTAGTGGAAGTCTGATGAAACAGTCTGTCACAGAACCTTGTTTTTTGTCTTTTCTCCCTTTCTGCCTACAGTTCACAGGGAAGCTCTCTATGATGTGGCAGAATACATTGTGGGCCGCTTCACATGAGCGTCTTTGATATAGTGGCTGCTTGGGATTTTCCTATCATTTGCTATCCAAGTGCAACCTCCAACATCCCTTCCCATAAACTAGCTAGTGTATTCACTCAGCATCTGGCCATAACAATACGCGGGACTTCCCAACCGGGGCAGAAACACTTCCATTGACCCTCGCTAAGGTCTGAACCTGCTACATGTGCTCTCGCGAGCACCAGTATCTGATGCATGTCCCACGTGTCTCTCAGTGGTTTCGACGTATGCTCTAATTGTCCCTCCCCCATCAATTCCAATTTCTTCCTTGCCCCCATGATGCCATCGTTTTGCCCCTACTTGTTCATCGGCTAGCGGTAGACCTGGGGTTGCCTCTCCTGCAGTTCCACACTGGCTTCTTCCGGCAGTGGCACACCTGGGATTTCCTTGGCTTCTTGTACGGTTGTGGTAACCCCTGGGGTTTCCTTTGAAGGACACTTGACCTTGGGCTCACTACCTGTGCAGACAAAACCGGACCCTCCTCCCAAATGCTGGCATTGTCTTTGTCAAAACCTTGCTCCATCAACCCCCCTCTCCTCTACTTCTGTGCTTGGGCGCAGAGGGCTGAGTTCCTCCTCGCCACCCCAATCTCCTCTACAGTCTCATTTGTGTCCACACTATCTTGTTCCCATTGTTTCACCTCCATTGCCGGACACTCCTCTTATTGTATGCCCCTGATGGTGTGCACCCTACCGTTTTCTCACCTAGGGATCTTTTTTTTTTTTTTTTTTGAATTGGACATGCTCCAATCTATTCGTGGGGAGCAACACGTGCTGGGAACCGGGCCCAGCGTCCCATTCAAAAACATATTGAGAAAATTATGCAGAAGACTTTGAGATACCAGGGCCATTACCCGGCTTCCGCTGAAGATGATAGCTATGCAATCTACACAAAAAGTTAGGTTCTCTAAGGTTTGATCATGGGAATATTCAGACCGAAAACCACCTGCCTTTAGCGGCTGTCAGCAGCTCAACCCTATCCGTCTCTCCGCTATACCCCGGTAGTGGGCCGATACTTAATCTCTACCAGGCCTCCCACCCCCAACTGCTAGGTTACAGAGTGGCATGACCCACCCCAGAAAACCCCCACCTGCTAGGCTACAGGGCAAAGCGACCCGCCCCGGCTCCGGCCAGCGTCGACTAAGTATCAGCTCGCCAATAGACACTAGAGTGCCTTCCACCCTCGACAACTCCCCGGATCTCTCTACCAGGTCTCATGCCCCCGTACCGCTCGGGTTACAGGGCAGCGCGACCAAGCCCCAACACCGACCAGCATCGTTCTGACCTCGTCCATTCGCAAACCACTGGGACCAAGGACATTAGGAGATACCAGACAAGCCACCAATCGTCGCCATAGCTGTAGTTCCGATCATCCACTCTTTCCAGCACTGGCTGCAGACATCCAACAAAAAACTTTCTCAACCTCACTCCGGCAAGACTTACTGCGGTAGAGCCACCATCTCCACCGCTGCTGTACCCTATTTCCGCCCTACTGGCTAGGCCCTTCGCCGCAGGGCGCATTATTTCCAACCATCACCGCAAACACAGCCCACTGCAACCAACACCAAAATTATGGAGATTTTTCCAGTTGAAACCTCAAAAATAAAAGGAATTTAGGGAACTCAGATACACGCACAGGAATCGTAACCTAAAAGGCAGTCAACACCTATTATTCCCACAAGGAGAGAGGACGGGAGGGAACTACTTCTTTCCCCATGGAAATTTCTGCGCCTATTCACGTCTCTGTTGAATGTAAAAGGCTCACAAGAAACCGAGCGGCTTACTCCTCCCCCCCCAAAAAACAACCTCCTGTCCTTTCACTGCCTCCACTGGAAGGCGCCCCCTCACCTCCCAGCCCCAGTTCAGAACAGCCCCCTAAATCACTCCTGCTCCCTCAACAACATACAATACCCCCTAGAGCATGCCCCCACGAAGCCGAAGATCCCCCTTCCCTCGTGTCCCGCCTCCTCCAAGTGAAACACCTCTCGACCTCTCACCTTGCTGAAATCAGTCCCCCTTCTCCTCCCTCCCAACCGCCGTGGCTGATCCGACCCAAATCAGCCTGGCCCAGAAGAGAACAAACCCACAATACCTCCCCTACCCTCTAAAGGATCACACCTCCCACCTTGTATAACCCTCGCAGGGAGGGGCTCAAACCCTGATAATTCAATCAGCACCTATGATCCCAAACCCTACAGTATCGCAACTTGAGACTCGATTGTGACCAGTTTTTTGGAAATCCCTCAAAAAGGTGAAATCGAATATCGAATTCAAAAAATAAGAGCCCAAGCTTGAGTGTACAAATATAGAGAACTACGTCGGATTTCTACTAATACTTAAAGGCAAAAGCGGTCCTCGGAAGACGCTCCCACGGGACCAGGGAAAAGAAGTCCCGCGCTTCGGTTGGATGGGACAGGCGCTGTGCAACGTTTCGTTTTGTTTTGTTTTTTGTCGTTTACTGCACACTTTTTCACGACCCACTTTGTAGGGCGCGGGTTCGAGG